AGAGACTTCAAAATTTGAATTAGATCCCTCTCACCTCTCCAAAATTTCAAAATCAAGATTTCACCGTTGCAAACCGAGTCCATTACAGAATGTCTTAACAATTTCACGATTACTTCGTTAAGTTTCATGAAATTTTGCATCTTTAGAGCGGCCGTCACAGGATTTTAGAAACGCTCTATGCTGTAATATAAAACATTGTAAGAGGCAGCTTTTAAAACTCTTGATGTTTGTTTGAAAATCATCAAAAGAAATACTGATTTGCTAATGGAGGTTTCCCATGAATTTTTTTGTAAATCAGTTTTGTTTTGTTTGTATTGCAAAAAAAAAAAAAAAAAAAAAAAAAAAAAAAAAAAAAAAAAAAAAAAATGGATACTCAGACGGAGGGACGAAAAAGAGCCTCTTCAGAAAAAATTTCGAACTATAATATGAGCAAAAAGTAAACAAATAAATGTTGTAGTATTATAAAAAAAAGCATTAGGCTCTCAGGCATCTAACGACTGTAAAGCACCTGAAGTATGACTACTGGTGAGTTTACTTTGATTTAATTAATGTATTTTTAGATAGATACAGCTCGTATTTCTGAGGTTACGATATTTTGTTCATAAAAATTAATTTTAAAAAAAGCTGTAAAAAAAAAAAAAAAAATTAAAACATAAATACTTGCATTTCTTTTATAAAGAGAGCATGAAGTTGTCAAAAATGGCATGGTCATGGTGAACTTGAGCGGAAATCATATGATTTCCGCTCAAGTTGGAAATACGACTATTGTGCCTCTGGTGTATCCGCTTTTGCCTATCCCCTAATTTGAAGGCGAAACATCGTATCCACTACGAGATTAAGCCTTGCACATAAATTAAAGTGGAGCAGTCATGCCTCCTAGGTACTAAGTGCCAGCTTCTACCCATCTCATAAATCATCGTTTCCCGCACGAAAGCATGTAACCCCATTCCAAGGTTGCAAAATTGAATTAGACGATTGAATTTTTTACGAGATTGTACCTGTGCAACTTTTGTTCAAAGTGTGTCTGATTTTTGCAGATCAGGAGAAAAATCAGTGGAATTTTCAGTTAAAAAAAGTTTTCCTTGGTAAAAATGTAATTAGCGAGGCAAGTGTGGCAATATTGATGTGTAGTTAAGTTCTTTCGTGAGGGAAACGACGTAATAGGTAAAAGCCGCACATCGACGCACAGTGGATCGAGTCTAAAGGTGAGGTCGGACAAAATTTGGAAACTTGAAATACCTCTAACTCCTTTTATACGAAACTTAGAGGTTCTAAAAGTGGTTCCATTGGTTTTCTCACGAAATTTTCATCTGAGAGCACCCATTGAAATTTGAAATGTGACGAAATAAGTATAAAAATTTGCAGTTTCAGTCAAGAATTTCATGTCCGACCCCTCTGATTGACTTGATCCACCGTGCGACGGTAAAACTTCCAAACCACATACCTCAGTTTGGGGCTTCTCGTCAAACTTCATTTCTTTGAATGAAAAACGAGTCAACGTCAATTCTTAAAAACTCTCGCGATTTTTCTTCTCGGTGCGAAGAGAGGTCTGTGAATACTTCGACGAATAATATTGGTGTGCCCTCCTTTGGAAAAATGAAATGGAGGCGGATACCGTAAACGAGATCCGTGGTTCGGGAGTTTCGCCGTCGACACGTCATTGGCGGACTTGGCAATTCGGCATCACCGGATTTCCTCCATTTAAGCCTATGGAAAAGTATCGATTCTTGGAGGGGCCAGGTGCTCCGATAAGAATCGATTATTTAGCATAGGTTTAAATGGAGGGATTCGGTGTGGCCAAATTGCTGGATCCGCCTCTGCGATATGTAATTGTCATAAAATGTAATTTTGTAATTTTCATTGTACATTTCCTGAAATGAAGTACCTGGACTGAATTAGCTGTGGAGTTTCGATGGATCAGCACGGTATTCGGTTTAATTAGTGCATGTTATCATGAACTTTCACTGGAGAAGAGGATAAAGATGTGCTTAAGTTGGAGGTGATCCCATCATCCCCCCCTCCCACCCCCAAGTGTGCGAATAAAAAGAACTAAGACCGAATTTGGAGACAAACATTTTATTTTAAACTACTTTAATTTACAATATTGGTACATGAATAATGATCTTCATCAACGTAAAGAACAAACATACAGAATTAGGTAGCAATTTAAAGGAGGTGAATAAAACCAGTTCAGATACGAGAAAATCGGTTAAAATATTTATTGAGACACAGAAAAGCAGATTCATTAATTTAAAGAGTAAAAGACCAATTACGTTGAATAAAAATGGTTAATTATTGATAAAAAAAAAAAAAAAAATGACATTGGTATACACATTAATTTGCGGAAATTCGAAATTTAGAAAAAACGTTGAAAAATGCTTAACATACATGCGTTGAAATTTAAAACGAACCACCAGCTTAGAAAAAATGTATACAAAACGGACAGTTGAAACGCTTGAAAATGTTTGCAAGAAATTGCCCTAGGGCAATTTCTTTAGGGTTAAGCTGATTTGGTTGAAGTTTCACAGCAACTTTACTGTCCGTCACATAGATGCGGTTATGGATTTATGCAACTAATTGTCTTAGGCTTACAATAGTTTGTACAGGTCTTACAATTGCTTCATGGTTATATACAGGGTCAGAAACTTTTAATTGCATTAGCAACACTGATTGTGTCTTCTATTCTTACTACGCGAACAAAAATACACATAAAACAATAGTCTATCTCTATCATTAATATACATTTGCTCATTTTTTTTAGAAAAATAATCAATCTTTTTTTTCAAATTTTGCTGCCGAATTTGGAGTGAAAAAAGCATGATAATTTAAAAAAATTGCATTATCAATCCTTCGAAGTAATACTTCAAACGTGTTCCCTTCGCATTATGAGTATCGTTCGACAAAGAGGTATAAGAGACATTTGAATATATTATGAATATTACCTACAGATCACTTGATACTCGAAGCAGATGATGAAAAAATCAAGATTGCGGCAGATTTAATTAAGTCATCAAGAATGGATATCAATTTTAAAGAGTGAAGCAAAAACTGATGATTACGCAGCTCGAAAAACATATTTAAATAATCGTTTCGACTTTTTGAACTGAAATAAATTTCAAAGTTACGTTTATATAAAAATTAAAGTTAGCTGTAAGATGTGTTATACACAGAAGAAAATAAAAACGGAATCCTAAAACTACTTGAAAACGAGGGAGGTTAAAGAAAGGAACAGTTTCGCAGTTTTTAACAGTTAATTGGAAAAGCATGGTGGAGGGATAAGAATTACTCAATAAGTAGAATCGTTTCCCTAAAAGTGAAAAATGAGGCATTACGGTTTTAAATGATCACGGAACAAAACGTTGCATTTTTCACGGATACTGATGCCAACATCTTACAAAATTTGAGTGATTAATAATTTGTTTTCTTAAATTAGATCGAAGTTAAATTCCTGCCTGCTTCAGAAAAAAACTGTGCAGCTGTCTTTAACCGCCCCTTTACAATACATATGATAATCTAGAACACTTCAAAGTCGTTAGTTATTATGTGCTAATGAGGAATTTTGTGGCTATAATCATCAATCCTGTACACGTAGAGCGAACATTTCTGAAAAGTTTTTGCAATCATGTTCTTAATTCAGAAGAAAACGATAAAATAAATACCTATTTGAAGTAAAATGAAATTAAACTTAATGCTTAAATTATATATACTTGGAGCGAGAAAACAAGATGCGACAAAAGAGTTAATAGCTTTTTAAACTTAAAATAAAACCTTCTAGGGGCCTTCCAAGGTATTTTTATTCATAAAATCAAGGATTAATTGAAAATGAAGGGCCCTTAAAAAAATTCCTCTTCAAAACGAGACTTCCTCTTTTAATACCTTTAATTTCAGTCACCTGCGTGAAAGCGCGTATTTATGACTTGCAGGCGACAATTTCAGATATTTTTCAAGTCTCCAACATAAGAGAATGAGAAAGACAGGCAAACGAAAACTCCAGATGATGGGGAATAATATAGAGATATTTAAGTACTAAAAAGCAAGGAAGGATATTTCGTCTTGTCCCTCACGAAAGAACTCCATTTCAATGTTGCCAAAGTTCTTCTCGTAAATTACATGTAAACCAAGAGAATTATGGGCGATTTCAAAACAAAATGTATCAAATTTTTCCTTAGATTTCATGCAAAAAGCAGACAAATTGCGGATAAAACTTGCACAGGTGCATTTTTATAAAATAAATTAATTGTTGGAGTCGATTTGGCAACGTTGGAATGGAGTTACGTTCATTCTTCCGGGAGACGACGACTTAAGGACTTGTACGAGAGTAAAGAAAATTTAAATACATGAAAAAAAGGAGAAGAAATCGGGGCGTTACAAAGCCCTGGTTTAAGACTCTGGAGTATTCCTTAAAAGCGAATTTCCGCGATCGAATATCATTCATCAAACGAATTGATCAGTGCTGAGTGATGCCGATGATCGGTATTGCAGGAGCCAGTCAGAGTTCATGTTATTTTTGTAAAAGAAATTCAGAAGAATAGACGAAAATACGAAACACTAAAATACAGCCAATTGCAAAAACACCACACTTGAATTGACAAAACACAAAAACAGAAAGAAATGACGAAACAAAAATTCTGGTGAAGGATGAAGTTTCTGGCATCGATTGGATCAATTCAAAAATTGGATTCAAGTCCCGTGAATTCGAAATTTCTAATGGTGGATTTCAACGGTCTCCGGTGAGACCGACGAAGGAGTCAAAAATCATTTTTAAAAAAATGCACGGCGAATGATATTCGATCGAGAAAATTCGCTTTAAGACGTTTAACACTGATTAAAATATTCATTTCTTTTTGTGACGATTCAGGTTAATGTGGATTCGAAGATTGTTCATGCTGGCGAAAGATTTGTTGCAGATGGTGCAAAACGGTGGAGCTGTGTGAGTCTTGATGTGACTCTTCAGGGATGGCTCGGTTTTGTATCTGGCGCCGCAAGTTTTACAGACGAACGGTTTGTCCTTCGTCGAGGCTGTGGACGGGGCTGCGGACGGGGCTGTAGACGGGGCTGTGGACGGGGCTGTAGACGGAGCTGTAGACGGGGCTGTGGACGGGGCTGTAGACGGGGCTGTAGACGGGGCTGTAGACGGGGCTGTAGACGGGGCTGTGGACGGGGCTGTGGACGGGGCTGTAGACGGGGCTGTGGACGGGGCTGTGGACAGAGAGAAAAGAGCAACGAGAGCATTTAAAAAGAACAACACAGCTTTCGGTTGCATCAACCGGGGACTTTCTGATTTTACTCACGCTGTGCGCCGCGCCGCTTTCAGCGGACTACCGACCGTGCAAGTTTGAACCCTTCGACTCTCTGCTCCAGTTGGAAGAAACAGCAGCTCTACGGACTGGACGTGAAACAAATGAAAGAACAAAAACAACGAAAGAAACAAGATAAAGAAAAGAGAAACACTGGAAAAAAAATCGCTTGGATTTAGAGTACTGACCGTTGAAAAGAATGACAACAAAAAATACTCTTGATTCAATCGGAGTTTTGCTTGAATCAAAAGGGAATCCGCTTAAATTAAGATGCTGGGTTCTCGATTAAAGCTAATGTCCGGTTGAATCGAGAGTATTTTTTCTTGTCAATGTTTTTAAGAGTCTGGACTCTAGATCCAAGCGACTTTTTTTCCGGTGAAGAGAAAAATGCGCTACGCCAAAAGCATGGCGCGCCCGCGCGCGGCAGATAGAATAATTCGCACGGAGAAAAATTTCTCACATCTACAGACACGTCCTCTTAATGTTTTCCATTCAGATTTTTCCGAAATAACCGGAATTTCTGGTATTCTGACCGTCGGAGTCACACTAGGACAGAGGACATTCCACAGAGGCCCGTAGCATGGCGTGCTTTTCGATCTATCGATATTTCCCCATTTGAAGCTGTAGTAAATAATCGATTATTGAGGTGTTCGTTGCGAACACCCTGATTATCGATACTTTTCCATAGGTTTCAATGGCAGATCAATCGATATATCGTAAAGCACGCCACACCTCTGATTTTCTGCCTCAGAGGCGATTCTTGAAAGTTGGCAAAACTGTTTTTTCTCTATTTAAATGTGCTTAAAATTATCGATTCTCGGTGAGGCAGCTTGCCTCACCTAAGATCGATATATTTAATTAATTTAAATAGAGGAAAAACAGTGTTGCCGACTTGCAAAATCGCCACTGGCATACCAGATATTTCAAAAAGAAATTGAACGAGGAAAATTTTAATGAAGCTCTCATTCATGTAGATGCTCTGGAAATTTTTTCCGTGCGTCGAGTGAGGAACACAGGTACCTGACAAAAGACTCTACCCTCAAAAGCCGCTAACACACGTACACTCCGAATGTACATTCTGGCCTATTGCGCATGCGCGGGCATCGAGAATGTTCCTCATTTTGTTCTCTTGAACAACTCTAAGTTACAGGAATGAGTAAAAGATCGTCGCGGGTATCTTCTTCTTCTCGTCAAACTGTACATTCTTCTCCAAGAGAATGATGAGTGTACATTCGCGATGCCCGCGCATGCGCAGTAGGCCAGAATGTACATTCGGAGTGAACGTGTGTTAGCGGCTTAAAGGTGCTACATTTACACTGTTACTCCGATGACAATTCCAGCAAACTAGCAACATTAGGTAACGTTCATTTAAATACATTAAAAAAAATCGATAGTTATGACGAAAGATCGATAAAAAGGATCAATTCCCCGCCGGCGATCGATCGTTTTTAATGGATTTAAATGGAGGGAAAAAAATGTCACCAACTCGCAAAATCGCTACCGGTATCACTCAATACTTACCTTTTGAGAGGACCATCTCCTGATACTTACTGTTCATTGCGATGTAATAGTGTGTCCGATGTCTTTCAGCGGATAAAATCAAAACACAAATTAGAACTGAGAGACTAATTGGAGGAACATTCCAAGTTAGAGAGAATTAGGTAACACTCGCATTTGACCTGAGATCATAATTACGCCTTACAAAAATTGCACGCGTTGGTGCAGCGCCCGAAAAAGAAAAACAGGTATTGCAAATTAAATTGGGATATGAAATAAGAAATTATTGGAATGCCTGAGAATTTCCGAGTGCAAACCGATGTTTCTCTGCGCAAGCAAGTAAAAGCGAAAACCTACTGACAAATAGAAACCGAAACCGAAATTGTAAATAATTGCGACTCGTAAGTAGTCCTAAGTTTCAATGCAGCGATAGGGTTACCCGATAACGCGAATGAAACCGCAAACTTTAGGGCGAATTTTAGATTCGACGATTCCCTCAGTGGCGAGGCGTGAACGATCTATTATCGATATTACTCCATTTGAAGCTATGGTAAAGAATCGATTTTTAAGGTGTTCGTTGCGAACACCCTATTTATCGATCTTTTTCCATAGGTTTAAATGGCCGATGAATCGATATATCGCAAAGCACGCTACGCCACTGGTTTCCCTGACGAAAGAACGTATATCCATTCCACACTTACAAAATCTAATTACACGGAAATTATTTTTTTCACACGAAAATGAGAGCACGATGTCTGTCAAAAATTTCGCTGATATTTGATGACGATCCATGGAAAAAGCAGGGAAATTTTCAATTTCAAAAGCCCAACAGCTCCAGTGTAAAAATAAATAGCGTGAAATTAAATTTGGCATCGTTGAAATGCAGTTACGTTCTTTCGTCCAAGAAGATACGAATTCTTGCATTTGTTACTACGTGCAGAAACGACGATTTTCAACGCGCATTTCTCTAACGTAATGCCATTAATTGGCTATTTGAGGAGTGGGGGTCGTGCATATTTGCATGGGTGTTCTTCTAGGTGTTCATCATTCTAAAGAGAAAATTCCAAGCTTAAAAAGCTCGAAAAATTTAAAATTAAAAAAAAAAAATTATAAAAAGAGAGGGACAACTAACTTCAGATAAAAATGCTCGTCAAAATTTAACACTTAATAATTATTGAAAACGGTCGTTTCCTGTTTTTTTTCACGCAATTTTCGAAAGAGTCACACGCGTGACATAAAAGATCCGAAAAATTGGAATCAAAAGGATGACAAGTTCTTTCGACCTTCGAAATACCCAACTTTTTATTTTCGACGCTGTTTTTTCCAAATTTCATCGGACTTTCAATAGATTCATTACAGTGCCGTGGCGTGAATGATCGATTATCGATATCTCGCCATTTGAAGCTATGGTAAAGGATCGATTACTAAGGTGTTCGCTGCGAACACCCTAATGATCGATCTTTTTTCATAGGTTTGAGTGGCGTATCGATCGATATATCGCAAAGCACGCCACGCCACTGATTCATTATAGTAATTCCTCTAAAAATCTATTGATAATTGTTTCGAGAGAACGAGAAAATCACAAAGCTTGATTATTAATTTCCTTCATTTTCCGCGCTTTAATAAAAGTTAGAAAATTTTCCATGACTTTCGGGAATTTCAAGTACTTGCCATCCTGTTCAACTCCAAACAAAACAAAAGTATACATAGAAGTGAGCATAAATAACACAAATATTGAAAATATAAATAAAAATCAATTACCTTTTATGCAATTGGAGTCCGAGTTTTTTGAACGCGAAATGACAACGTTTACGGGCCAAAAAGAATATTACCATAGTACCTTAACCAAATAGTATTCGCAGACTACCCGAGGTTCAACAAATTGAAGGGTTAAAAGGGATAAGTTTGTTTCCCATAATCCTTGGTCCAAATTCCAGCGTCATTGAAACTGGTTGCGCCTTCAAAAACATTGGGTACACCACAACGAGGCTCATTCACGTCTAAGTTCAAAATGAACTCGTCATGAAAGCGCCTTTCGATGTGAAAAAGAGTAGAAACACATTCAGCGTATTTAAGTGCATTAAAACGTAGGCAGAAATCCAATAATTCAAAGCTTCATTGAAGGACCTGCTTTTCAAACTAGGAAACTCAGCCTGCAACAAGCGGAGGCCGTAGCTTCAAAATTTTCTTTCGCATAATTTATGAGTCATTTTAAACAGCGTAAAGCTTGAGATTTCAATCAAGGGAGCGTGCAAATTAGGGTATGCAAACTAAAACACTCAAGAAGTTCGTATATAAGACATTCTTGGCCGGGAGTTTTGTCAGAAACTCAGCCTGGCACATAGTGAGGCTGTAATTCCTTACTTCTTCTGATATTCGATAGTCACTTCGTTTCTAGGCAAAATTGTATCCTAAGCTATACCTACCAACTTTGGTTATCGTTTAAAAAAAAAAAAGAAAAAAAACATAAGTTAGCGTGGGGCAAAAACGAGTGTTAGATAATTGATTAGGGTTCATGGAGGAATTATTACGTATACACGAGTTAACTTGAGGCATATACCGCTTGAAATTCAACCTTGTCATAGTGAAAGCTGTCAATTTCATGCGAGATTCTTTATGGTTTTTTTTTTTTTTTTTTGGGGGGGGGGGGTCTCTTTTCTTACAAACTAACGGGCATATAACCATACTTCTCGAAGAGACAAGTAGATTTTTTACTTACCTGGTCAGCGAAAAAAAATCACCAAAAAGCATTATGCAATTTTGGATTTTACTTGATGAAGAAAGAGAAAAATGATCACGACGAAAAGATGTTAATTTAGAAAATACCGTTGGGTCGGATCTTCAAAAATCACGAACACTACAAACACTAAAAATCCGAAATTATAAACCGGGAACGCGAAAAACTAAAGGGATATTTGGATCAAGTTGAACAGAGAGGAATACATTTAAGAAAAAAAAGGAGAGAAAAACAAGGGGCTTTACTTGTGGTGGAATTTAATTCTCTCTTTCCCAAAAAGAAAATTCCATGTTTCAAAATTTTAGGTTCTTTGAATAAACCGCAGAAGATGCGTGAGTTCATGTCCGATCAGGAATGTCAAATTTGCGGGAGTCGTTATTTTTTTCGACTATTAAAAAAACTATGTGGGTGCAAAGAGTGGAATAAATTCAGGGATGGGAACCAAGAGCAGTTGGTTTAATCGCAGATTTTGTGTTGATGGAATCAATACAAAGAAGACCATACTGTACTTTAACATGCTTACATAGCTCATCCGAGCAAATTAATTGCGCAGGCATCCCCCCCCCCCAAAAAAAAAATGGTTCCTCTCTGTTCAATTCGATCTATAGATCGTATTCGATACATCAAATAGGTGAGATTGTATTGATACCGATTGGTTCAACATGTAAATACAGCTTCTAAAGTCAACTGAGCAATCTGAGGGAGCGGGTTTTTGGTGATAGAGTTTATACTCTGAAGAGTACAAGCTGGCAATGAAAAGTTAATTTGTTAGGAATTTTCTCATTTTCAGCTTTCCCAACTTAAATCCTAAAATTTTTGTTTGAGTTTATGTTCTATTGTTTTGAACCAAACGATACATCGAGCTGGCCACTTTCGAATACGATCCATTACCATCCCGTTAAAAAAAAGAGAGAAAAAAGTAAAAACTCCCGATCGTTGGTGTGTGGACGCTGCGAGACCTAGCTGGGAGAAACCGTTTTGGGCGCAGCGAAAATACCTGCAAAAAGGCAAGCTTAGAAACAAACATGCTCACCTACCTGGCCTGCGGTGCTGAAAAATATCTCACAATACCAGTGCTTACAATGCAGCGTTCGATGAAAAAAGCCGAACTATAAAAAGTTTTGTTGATTGACGTATTGATTCTTTTCATTTGGCACGTAATCCATTAATTTAATTATTTTTATTAATATTGCGTTTTATTGTTTTGGGGCCTCTGCTACTTTTACGAGTAGAATATTTAAAGAAACTAAGGAATTTGAAGTTATTCAGAATGAAAGATGAATAAACCTAGAATTAGATGTACCTATCTAGATTTAATGAAGTATCTTTAATTTCATTTAACTAAGCATTTTCAATGTGCCAGGAAACGCGATGAATTTGAGAGTGGAGAATAAAAAATATGTAAAAGGAAAAATAAAAAAATCCCAAAAACATGGGTATTGAGATCTCATACGAGATTGCGCTCATTTTTGTATATATTGCCAATCTTGACTGATTCTTTACTTCGGATTTGGTTGTGGACAAGGATCATTTGAAAAATAGTGCATGTGTTCATTTTCGGATGTAAAAACAATTAGTCGCACATGCTTCGAGGCTGCGGGAAATGTAAAATGAGAATTAAAGCGAGGCATATTTAATCGATTCCTCGAACTGATTAGATGGTGGAGAATACAAGCGTGCGACCTCACTCTCAAGTTCTGTGCTCAACAGTTTTTTTTTTAAAAAAAAATGTTTTCCTCCACCTGTTAAATGACATTCATTCTTCTCTCTTTCTCTCATTTTTGTGAAACCTCCATTTCACATAATTCAGACCAAACCTCTAAACTAGCAATTCAGAATCAATCATGATCGAAAATACGAAAGGAATGAAGACTGCATTATCTACCTACTTGATAAAGTGATAAGGAAAAAAACTCAAGTTGCTACATTTCTGCCAATGAAGTAAGAAATTTCAGTAAAACTTAGGCAGTTTTCTCTCTAAAGTTTTAAGGATATTTCATTCGTAATTCAGTTTCATACATCTAAGACACAAAAGCCATGAATTCTTTTAAAGATAAAACTTCATTGGGGGAATCTGACAACATTCAAATACTGGTCCAGCGCCCTTTCTTGGCTCGACAGATTCATTACCAGACCATAATACCTGCCGCTTTAGCCTCAACTTAGGTTAGAGGGAAAACGCAACTATTCGGCCTCCTAAGCCGCTAAAATTGTATCACTCTCAATTGAAGGCGATTTGACACCGCTCGGGCCGGACTCGATTTTTGTCTTCCGCGAATTCGTTATTCGCGAATTTTTGCTCTTTGGAACTGGGATCGAGGCAATTAATTGCGTTCACTTTCTTCTCGATTTCTGAAAATCTTTGGTTCGAACTTTTTGTTACGGATTAATATGTTGTGAAATAATTCTCGGAAAGATATGTAAAGTCACTGTCTCTCCTTATCTGTGACTGTGAGGTTTCTCAGTAATTTAATTACGTTTCTGACTTAATTACTTACGTTATTACCATTGCCAATCGCTCAATCAAAATTTACCTGAAGTTGCTATACTAGTTTTACCTAAGTTTCATACGAAGAATTAGAAAAAAAACTTACGAAATGGTTACAGCAAAAAAATAAGAAATTTAAAAGTGCCATAAAAAGATCCTACATAACTGTCTCTCCGATCAATCGATTAGCAAAAAGGAAAGTAAGAAAAAATTACAGCAATGCTTAAAAAATCTATCTCCGTTCATTCAGCTCATTCTTATTATGGCCTTTAAATAACTATTGAATCGATCTCGTTTTCTTGCAACCTTCAAATATTAAAAAATATATATTTTGCCGTAAAATGTATAAAAGTTTTTTTAATAAAGATAATTTTAGTGTTTGTCATTTCATAAAATTCTGGGAAGAAAAAAGTATTACTTAAATCTCAATTTTGGTGCAGGTTTCTCCGGAGGAACGATCAAAGGAAATTCTGTTATTATGTGCAAAATAATTAGGTACATTTGATCCGAGTGAAAGAAGCTCAGCAAGATTTTCATCGTCTGCAGCAAATGACTGATAGAGCGAGACAAAAAAAAAATCGTGATAAAAAAAAGAAAACGAGGAAAAACATACAAAACAAAAGATACAACCAAAAAGGAAAGAAAATACACAAAAATTAAAGGATGGATCGACGCGATTGTTGATTATTTCGGTACCAAGATTTGCCAGACGGTAATCGTACCGCTATGAGTACGAAATTTACAAAAAAAGATCATACTAAAGCAGATCGCTGCATCATAGGTAATTGACTTCGCAAGCGTCCACACACAAGGCATTATCCAGAGCACCTGTAAAATTGCGAGATACGAAGAAAGGTTGTCACGATTGAGAGTAAACACTTCGGTGATCTGCTCTCTGTACTTGGGTGCAAATATGACTGACTAAATAAATAAAGGACACGAAAATTTTGAAGCATGGTTCAGCTAAAAGTTTGATAGTTACTGGAATTGAAATTAAAAAAGAACTGATCAAAGGAACGTGAAAGGAACAAGTTTACTCTTTCTGAGGGCCGGGCGTACCTATCCAAAAGAATGAAAATTTACCAACACCCCGCTACCTTGAACGACCCAATCTTGTTTTCAAGATTAATGACCTTGTTAGGAAGGTTCAGATTTTTTAACTGGGTCCAAAAAAAAGGGATGAAAGTCATCTGGAATGCTGAATTTTTCGTATGTAAAATCTCATACATGCTAAGTTTAGCAGTAAAATTGTAAGTTTCACCAATCAATGAGTTTAGAAATATGTGATTGATAGAATTTAAAAGACACACACATCACTCAGCCCGCTGTCCATATTTATACAGGAACCTTGGTGATATCTCGGTCTTTTACGATCAGTTTTCAACTCCCTCAGTCGCGACAACCTTCCAATGGATTACAAATCCGAACTTAATATTTCATCATGCTGAAAAGTCAGTCCAGAGGAAAGCAAGCGTTAAGAGATTCCTTAGTCCTTGAAAAAAAGCCCTTTGAGAGAGCGGGAGGAAAATAAAATCGTTGAAAGTTAAACCACCAAGGGGTCATAAAAAACAGGTACTTAATGAGAAAAATTGGCAGAACTTGACAAATTTACTGCTGTCTTCTTGTGTTGTGTTTTGATATATTTATTGGTTTAAATATGAAATGACAGACCTTTTGCTGCTAGTCTTTGTCTTTTACAAGATTCAATGTTTGACAAAAACGAGGCTTTGGATTGTTATAGCTTTATTACTTCCTACTCTGGACTGACTTAAAAAGTTCGGTAGGTACAGGCTCAAGTGAGAACTGTGGGTTCCAAGATTCAAGATATGTTAAATAAGAGACCACGCAACCTTCAATGGATGCCATCAGTGAGGCTTGTTTTAATAATGCGGAAGTGTAATATTTCATTTAATATTACTGAAAATTGTGCATTCATTTGAGCCCTGATAAGGTGCTTTCGTGTCCAGGTTGGTGCGGAAAGGCATAGAGCTTCATCAGATGCTTTGTAAGACCCCTTTACTTCAGGTGACATTCAAACTGGTTTCAGGAGTATACTTAATTGTCATGTTTCAAAAAATCATATACCTAACCTGATATTTTTTCGACTCAATATCGTTCCGAAATTTCATCAAGTTTATACTGAGTAATTGGAAGTTGGTCAAGCGGGGATTTTCTGCACGCATACACTCGGCATTGCAGAACACTCATACATAGTTAGCTGAGGTCAGAAAATGCATTACCGTAGCAGAGCGGTAGACACCTCCGGGAATACGTTTACACACTTTTAGACTGTGACAGAAGTACATTTGCAATCATTTTGGCGCGGATAGTGCCTAATTGCAAGAAGCAAGGTGGCAGATCTTCTGTAGCAATCTAGAAGTGCGTAAACTTAGATGGGACGTCCTGCGTCCTTTACTCAATAGAATTGCAATTACTCAATAGAAGTAGAATTTGCATTGTTGGAATGGGAGATACTTATTTTCTGATTTTAGCCACTCTTATTCCTTACTGAAACGCTTATCAATT